AAGCAGGAGGACGTGAGCTTCAATGGATCCTCCTGTGCATGGGCTGAGTGGGCAACCTCTCTCCTGCCATCTCTGCTTTCCAGCCCACACGCACTAAGGAGGAGGTGATGGACTTACCCCAAAGGTGGGGATGGGAAGAAGCAGAACAGCCTTGCTCTTTCTGTCTGTTTTGCTCATTGAGGTGTTGGAGTGAACACTCCCCTTCACTCTATTCTCAGACAAACATGAGTATTAACTGTTTGCTACTGATGGGTCTAGAAAGCATGTTTTGCTGCTTTGAGCAGGGGGTTGGACTAGATGACCTCTTGAGGTCCCTTCCAACTCTGATATTCTATGATTCTATGTGTGGAGTGGAAGATGCCATTTCTGGGGGATTGTTCCTAAGATCCAGGACTTTGTGTTCAAACATCTCCCAGCTCCCTTGGTGAAAATAAGACCAAGGGTTCCTTGCAATATACAGGAAGAAAGGAGCTTTTTACCTCAGGTGGGACTTGAACCCACAATCTCTGGCTTAGGAAGCCAATGTCTTATCCATTAAGCCACTAGGGCCCTGAAGTACAACACCAGGAGGTATGGAAATACCCTTTCATAATTGCACATTCCTCACCTTAATTTGGAAGCCAAATACCCGCTTCATGCGCCTTACAGAAATGTCTGCATCCCCTGGCAGTGAGGCAACTGGGCAGGTCGCTCACAGAGCTGAGCACCACCTTTCTGCCAGCCATCTTTAGAGAAGAACCCCATCCTAGAGTCCCCCCTCCCTCCGTCAGCACCTCCACGTCTGTGGCTCTGAGTGGCAGTAGGATGAATAGGGGTGAATCTGGGGCTGGAAGGGGGGTAAGGTCAGCCTAAGAAGTAACCAGCTGCCTCCTGCCTCATAGGTTAGACTCTTGGCGCTGTGCCAGCCGTCCCCTTGCTTGAAGGCCCAGAGTAAGAAGAAGGAGGCCTGGTGCTGGCAGAAGAGGGTTTTGATTAATTGATCTCTGTGTTATGGGCCCAGCACGCTTCCACTGTGTCACTCTGCTGGTTTTTCGTAAGCACTAAGCGGCCCTGGCTCCAGACTAGTGCCCTGCGAGCTCTGGCTGTCAGGAAGCGGTGCAGGGTGCTGGGCAGTGGCCCTGGCAAACCAGCTGCTGGTTGGTGTCTCTGTGGTATCCTGGGTCAGTGAGTTCAGCTGTTAATGGAAAGGAGGGGGAGTTATGCTCCCCCAGGGATGCCACCCACTGGGCCTTCAAGCGAGGGGGCGGCTGGCACAGCGCCAAGAGTCTAACCTGTGAGGCAGGAGGCAGCTGATGCCTGCAGCCTACTGGGGAGCTCCCAGAAGTTATTAAGGGACAGAGACTCCTCAATGCCCTTAGTAACAAGGGTTTGGGGTTCACCGAGGACAGTAAGGGGGTCACTATGTCTGCCCTATAACCCTGGGTGTCAGGTCGCTGTGCAGCTTTGATCTAGAGCTCGGATCCCAACAACCGACCAGCAGCCCACAGCCTCCCCCTGGGTCTGCTCCACCTGGTTACTCCTTACAGGCTGACCTTACCCCCCCTTCCAGCCCTGGATCCGCCCCCACTCATCCTACTGCCACTCAGAGCCACAGACGTGGAGGTGCTGACGGAGGGAGGGGGGACTCTAGGATGGGGTTCTTCTCTAAAGATGGCTGGCAGAAAGGTGGTGCTCAGCTCTGTCAGTGACCTGCCCCGTTGCCTCACTGCCAGGGGATGCAGACGTTTCTGTAAGGCGCATGAAGGGGGTATTTGAATGGATCTGTCTGGAGACAAAGCAGACCCTGAGAATGAGCAATGGTGTGAAAAGAAGAGCTTCCAATGTGTGTTAGATGTCTGTTAAGTCGGTCTGGCAAATTTAAAGAAAATACCAATGCCCTTAGCATGATGCAGACATTGGCTGTTTCTGATCCAGGAAGACGGTGGGACCAGGTCTCATCAACGGGGAGGTGGCCACCCCGGCATGCACAAGGCTGAGCCCCTACTCACTTTTCCTTTATCTGTATCACATCCCCTGTATGTCATCTGTATGACAGGTCTATGGGGCTAGGGCTGTCCTCCCTCCATCCCCTCCCCTGCCCCTAATATCCCCTGCCCCAGGCTGTCTATGGGGCTGGGTCTCTCCCTGCAGCCCCGCCCCCGGCTCGGGGCTCACAGACATTCCCCGCTCAGCTGTTGCTGGCCCTGGAGGGAGCCGGGAGATGGAATCTCATGGAAGGTTCTAACAATGGCCGCTGGTGCGGAGCCGCGTGCGCTGGGGCTGTGACGTGCGGTGACGTGTGCACTCTCCGCAGGTAACTCAAGAGCAGAACACAAGGTGTCACGTGTCCATGGACGGGGTTATGCAGATGAACAGTGTCTGGCTGCAGCAGGGAGAGCAGCGAGATGAACCGAAGGAGCCAGGCAGGGAGAATTCTCTGTGTGTGGACAGAATTCGGGGTGGGGAGTCCGTGCTGTGAGTCACTTCAGGGCAGTGATTGCCACTGAGTTACATAGTTACCAACGGCGTGTGACTAGGGCGTGGTGCCTAGCTGGGAGCAGCTCGTCGTCATATTGAAGTTTGTGGGAGTGAGAGGGCAGGGAGGTGTTGCTGTGTGAAAAGTGTTGTCTTTCGGCTGGCATCATATGCAGTGTCTGTGCTGGTTAGTTTAGTCTAGTTTCTGTTTGGCAACTTTGTATTAAGTGGGTTTTTGGGTGCAGCTGTTAGGGGTTCACAATAAGAGGGAGGTGAAGTAGATGGAGAAGGTGATGTGGGAGGGGTGGGATAGAGGTATCCTTAACTGACACTGGCTGCCCTGCTGTCTCCCCAGCTCCCAGACCATCCCCCTGGATGGCCCCCTCTGATGCCTGGGCCTGCCCATAGCTGGAATCATCCAATGCCCACGTTACCAAATCCTACCCCTTTCCTTCTTCCTCCCTCCCCCATTCCCACTCTCTTTTCCTCCAGCGCCTATTCCCCACTTCAACCTCCTCAGCCCCCCACAGGGGAGATCCCCCCTCCTTGCTTCAAGCACCCCATTTGGAGGCTTCACTTGTGTCCCCCACATTCAGTGCTGGTTTCCCCACTGTCCCCCTCGTCCAGCACTGAGTCCCTGGAGCGTGGCTCACAATGCCAAACAGGGGGCGAGGGGGAGCTTACCCGGCTCTTGTACTCTGGGAACACTGGCACCTGCTGCTCTCCCAGAGGTACCAACACTGTAGTACCCTGGCAGGCTGCTGTGACAACGGGGCCCCACCAGTCCTCCCTGGGGAATGGGGGACATGTGGGCTGAGGCCATCCCCTGCTTGGCAGAGCCAAATCTGAAGCCCCTGGGAGGGTGATGGGGGGGCTATGTCCTTGTCCCTCTTCCATGGAGAAACTGAGGCATGGAACAGGGAGAGGTGAGTGGCCCAAACCCAGGAGTCCTGGTTCCTAGCCCTGGAGTATACACAATGTAACTCTTTGCTATTACATTGTAACAGAAAATAGATAAGTGAAAACAGTGCAAACAACATTCCACTACTTTTCAGGACGTTTAAACACCCAATACATGTATACATTTAACAATCGCTTTGAGCTATACTAATACACACATCAATTGGCCTGAATACACTGTGACGTAAGCTGCTCTGCCAGCGTCACCCCTTGTACAAACATTACTGCAACAGTGTGTAGGGCAGTGTGACCCCCCGGGGGTCTGTGAGCTGGTTTCAAGGGGTCAGCAGGGCCCCACGGCTGAAGCCCAGAGCCCCCGCCTCCCACGGGGCAGAAGCCCGGAGCCCCAGTGCTCCCCACTCCACAGGGCAGAAGCCCCAAGCCTCCACGACCCAGCAGCTGTAGCCCAGAGACCCGACTGCCCCCCCACCCCAGCTGGTCCTTGGAGTTTTTATAGCATGTTGGGGTGGGGGTGGGGGGACTCAGAAAGAAAAAGGTTGAGATCTCTGGTGTAGGGTGTGAAGTGTGAACATGGGAGTTAGTCTGTCACAAGAGCCTCTTTCCCAACTACCTTGGGAAACAAATACATGGACCTTTTGCCCACTTCTTCGTTAGTTACTGTGGAATTCTCTCCCCGGATCATCAGAGACAATATTGACCTAAAACGATCGAGCCGCAGCGTGATTCTGTGCAGTCACTTCAGTTAGTTGCACAACTTGGGGTGTGGTCTAGTTCACCATTTCAGACTGGAGATTTAAAAACAGTCGGTAGCATGTCCAATAGCTTGGAGTAGTCTCTCCTGTTGACTGAACTGCACTTAAAGTTTCTCCATGTCATCATGGAGGGAGCAGAGAAAAAGCAAAAATAAAATAAATGACTCTCAGTAGATAGTCATTTTCTCAAAGGCCCCAGTAAATCTGGGGCAAATAAAATGAATATCTGATTATGTGACCAAATGTCCCTCAAGAGGAAAAATCCACATCACACAAGATACATCCAGTTTCATAGAACTAGAAATTCCAGAGCAGGTTAAATATGATGACTCAGAATCAGGACAAGAGATTCTCCCATTGCATTCTCCTCTGAGCCGTTCAAACCTCCTTCACTCATTAGTTTTGAATCATATTATTTACAAAAGTTCTAGCATCGTCGTACTGGAAAAAACAAACCAACCAGCCAGCCTCCCCATCTGCAAACAATCCCGTCTCAGTAGGAAAAGTCCTACAACAGGCTTTGCCAACAGTTGGAAACTGGGATTTAAACTTCAAATGATCTCACTGTATTTGACATCCATTCAAATTCCCCATCCAGGTCTGTGACTCTTTCATCTCAGGCCCTAAATCACTGTTTTAGGAGCAAAGAAACAAATTGTGATCCACAAACAGATGGCTGAGAACCCTGAATCATAGGACACATTCAGTGGTGGAACTGTAGAAAGTGGAGCTCCAAACCCCCAAATAAATCCATTTTGCTGTGTATAAAGTTTATACGGAGTAAATTCATAAACTGTTAGCCCTCTATAACAGTTATAGAGAGAGATGCACAGCTGTTTGCCCCCCCAGGTATTAATCACTTACTCTGGTTTATTAATAAACAAAAGTAATTTATTAAGTATAAAAAAGTAGGATTTAAGTGGTTTCAAGTAATAACAGACAGAATAAAGTAAGTCACCAAGCAAAATAAAGCAAAATCACGCAAGTCTAAGCCTAATATATTAAGAAACTGATTACAGGTAATATCTCACCCTCAGAGATGTTCCAATAAGCTTTATTCCCACCACCAAGATATGGGTGCAGCACACAGGGAAACTGAGGCACACACAGTATTCATACAGAACAGTCAAACTCACATAGGCTCAACAGTAAGACTCACATACAACATAACAAGGGAAAATCCCCACTTCGTCACATCCTCTATCCCTGCTCCTTCTCGGTTATATTTACATTGAGAAAAACGGTACAAAACCCAACTGCTATTCAGCAGAACCCAGTGCAACGTGGAAACAACTGGGAATGAGGCAATCTGTCCCTAGTGGGGGAATCTGGTGACTACCAATCACTTTGCAGTGGGAGGAAAAGTATAAACATGATGCTCCAAATTTGGTTAGACTAGGAAAAGTGATGGAGGTTGTGTCCAGTGGTGAGGAGATTTGCTACGTTACCTTGGCCGCTATATGGGCTATTTTCTTTATTGAAAAAATAGTTATATTTTTATATCAGGATTGCTAACTCAATCTAGCTAACTCCATGGGAAACCCTAATGGAGTCAAAGCCCAGGTAGATTTAACCTCTATGTACAGGTCTGTCGCATCTTACGCGCATTTAACATGCGCGATTTCAGCTTTACGCAGTCGGCAAAAACAAAAACAACAAAAAAGAGAAAAATAATTTTAATACTGTACTTGTAGTGCGGGCGATTCCGCCCGCCATTGAACTCAATGTAATTTTGACTATACGCGGTTTTCGCTTTAGCGCTAACCGCGGAATGGAACCCCCGCGTAAGATGAGACAGACCTGTACCTAGTAAAAGTCACTCTTGGTTCCCCAACCTGGGGCTGATGGACATTCCAGTTGGAGGGACGCACACTCCCACGACACAGGACAAAGGAGTCGATGAACAACACTGTGGGCTTCACTCCAAGGAAGGGTGAGCTGCAAACGGGAGCAGACAACTCACCAGAAGGAGCTGAGATGCCACAAATGCTGCCTTAAAGTTCACTACTTGGGAATTAGGAAAAGGAAAAAACAATCTTTTCTGAGCCCTAGGCAAGATTTTCATGGTGTTTATCTCCCTTGCAGCTTCTCTGGTGATAAATAAGAGAAGAGCTCCAAGTGAAGGTTTTCCCGCATTCACCGCATTCATAGGGTTTCTCTCCTCTGTGGATCCTCTGATGTGCAATAAGGGTTGAGCTCCGAGTGAAGGTTTTCCGGCACTCACAGCATTCATAGGGTTTCTCCCCTGTGTGACTCCTCTGATGGCGAATAAGGTGTGATTGCTCAGTGAAGGTTTTCCCGCACTCACAGCATTTATACGGTTTCTCCCCTGTGTGACTCCTCTGATGGCGAATAAGGTGTGAGCGCTCAGTGAAGATTTTCCCGCACTCACAGCATTCATAGGGTTTCTCTCCTCTGTGGATCCTCTGATGCGCAATAAAGGTTGAGCGCCGAGTGAAGGTCTTCCCGCACTCACAGCATTCATAGGGCTTCTCCCCTGTGTGACTCTTCTGATGGCGAATAAGGTGTGATTGCTCAGTGAAGGTTTTCCCGCACTCACAGCATTCATAGGGTTTCTCTCCTCTGTGGATCCACTGATGTGCAATAAGGGTTGAGCTCCGAGTGAAGGTTTTCCCGCACTCACAGCATTTGTAGGGTTTCTCCCCTGTGTGGATTCTCTGATGGAGAATAAGGCTTGATCGCTCAGTGAAGGTTTTCCCGCACTCACTGCATTCATAGGGTTTCTCCCCTGTGTGACTCCTCTGATGGCGAATAAGGTTTGAGCTCTGAGTGAAGGTTTTCCCGCACTCACAGCATTCATAGGGTTTCTCCCCTGTGTGACTCCTCTGATGTGCAATAAGGGTTGAGCTCCGAGTGAAGGTTTTCCCGCACTCACAGCATTTATAGGGCTTCTCTCCTGTGTGGATCCATGGATTTCTAATAAAGTGTGAGTGCCTCCTGCACTTTTTCCCACAGTCAAAGCCCGTGTTATTTCTCTCTCCCATAAGGATTCTCTGCTGGGCCGTGGTTTCCTTGAGGCCTTTGTGAGTTCCCCGATAATTAACAGATATTCCAACTTCCGGCGCTGGCTGGTTTCCCTGCCGTTTCTCTGGCCCGTGCTGCCCCTGAGAGCCTTTTGCCTGCTCACAACTCTCGGACGCACTCCCTGTGCATCTTTGTAATAATGCCCCCTGTGGTTCCACTTGCTCATCTTCCTGCTGAGGATTCTGCTCCATGGTCTCTCTCATCATCCCCTCACCTGATGGGACAGAGAAAGAAAAACATCAGAAACCAGAAGGAAAAAAGAGGGAACAAACCAAGAGAATAGCTGGAGATGGAGAAAAACCAGGGACTGAATTTCCCCAAACTCTTCCCCGAAGAGGCAAGAGGAGGGGATCAATTCTGCATCCAGTTCCCATCCAAACACTCCCCAGGGAGAAGCGAGTTTGGGGAAGGAACTACTGCCAGGAGTTAGGATGGGTAGGAAGCCATGAACAGTATCTGCCCTGAGGGACCATCCTGAACCCAGAGACCTCACAAGGTCTTTGTTGGGAATCCCAGCTGTTTCCTTCAAGCACTGAGTAGGTTTAATGATCTCTCTTTCCTCTGAGCCCTGGAGTTCTGGGGCCCACGGCTCTTCCCCTCATTCCAGCTGGGAGATGACATCGGGTTTGGAAACTGGAAACCCGGCTCAGGGGAAAGAAGACCAGTGAGATCAGGTAATACGCAAAAGAAGAAGTTACTCAACTTGTGCATCAATGATGGTTGAGATGTGTCTCTCTATGGGTTCTCCACTGTAGGTGCTAGCACAGGGGTGGGCAAACTATGGCCTATGGGACACATCTGGCCCCCGAGGCTCCCACTGGCCCCTCCCCCGGAGCCTCAGCGAGCTGTGTGGGCAGTGCTCTGGGGGAGGCGGGGCTGCATGCTCCTTCGGGGGAGTGTGGAGCCAGACACGCTGCTTTGAGCAGCATGGTAAGGGGGCCGGAGGGTTATCTAAGGGGCAGAGGGTGGTTGGATGGGGCGGAGGTTCGGGGAGTGCGGTCAAAAGACAGGAGGGTTGGATAGGCGTGGGAGTCCTGGGGGTGGGGCGGGATGTGTGGATAGGGGTCGGGGCAGTCAGGGGACACGGAGCAGGAGGGTTGGGGGTCTCTGGAGGGGGCGGTTAGGGAACAAGGAGCAGGGGGGCTTAGATAGGGGGATGGAGTCCCAGGGGGGTGGTTGGGGCGGGGTGTCTTGGGGGGGCAGTCAGGGGACAAGGAGCAAGGGGTGTTGGATGGGTCGGGGATTCTGAGGGGGGCAGTTAGGGGGCAGGAAGTGGGAGGGGGTCAGATAGAGGATGGGGCCAGGCTGTTTGGGGAGGCACAGCCTTCCCTACCCGGCCCTGCATATAATTTTGCAACCCCGATGTGGCTCTTGGGACAAAAAGTTTGCCCACCCCTGTGCTAGCACATTAAAAACAGTTGTGTAGACCACAGGCTTTCCACACTACTGTACCCCTTTCAGGAGGCTGATTTGTCTTCCCTATCTCCAAGTCACATCTCATTTAAAAACTACTTGCTTATAAAATCAGACATAAAAATACAAAAGTGTCGTGGTACACTATGAATTGCGGACTTGCTCATTTGGACCATATAATTATACAATAAATAACTGGAATATAAATATTGTACTTACATTTCAGTATAGTATATAGATCAGTATAAACAACTCATTGAATGAAATTTTGCTTTGTACTGACTTGGCCAGTGATTTTTCCGTAGCAACTCTGGAAGTCCTCTGCATGCCTGTCACGGGGTTGGGACTCACCACCACGGCGCCTCCTGTCGGCCCGTCTGGGTATTAGCTCTATCCGCCACGGAGCGCCCTCTGCTTGTGGTGTCCTGTCCGTCGTCTGCCCAACTGGTATCGGGACCCGTGTTGCTCCCCGTTCGGTAATGTCCCCTTCAGGACACTGCCCTCCGGCAGTGCCCCCTAGTCCACACTCACCCCCTTCTGGGGGCGGGGGGTTTGTTAACAGCAGTCTTCCTGCCACAGTGGCCAACCACAACTCAAAGTCTAGCCCCTGTCGGCGGGAGTATGTTGCAGTCTGATATGGTCGCTCTCCCATGGCCAAGTGCAGCACATGAGGGAAGAGGGGGACCCAGGCCCACCCACTGCTCTGGGTCCCGACCCAGGGACCCTCTAGTGGCAGCCACTCCATCCTCCTCCTCTCCCCTCATCTGTCCGTCCTCCCTGGGTCACTTCCCCTCTGACCCCTTGCACCCTCAAGGCCCGCAGTCTGACAGGTATTGGGCTGGAGCTCTCCTCTGCTCCCCCGAGCCTGCCCAGCACTGCGCTGTCTGAGGTGCTGGTCTCCTTCACTCAGGAGACAGACCCTCCCCCTTGAAGGTCTGGGAGAGACCGCCTGCTTCTCTCCTGGGCAGCCTTTATATAGCGCCTAGCCTGGCCCTGATTGGCTGCCTCCTGCTTGGCTCTGACTGGCTTCTCACGGGCCCCTCCTGATTGGCTGCCCACCCGCGCAGCCGCTCTGGCTAGCTGTAGACCAATCTCACCTGGGGGTGGGGCAGCTGCCCCACCACAGTACCTCAGGGGTACACATACTTCTGATGTAGACACTGCAGCTCAGGCTTAAGAGACTGAGCTCCAGGCCAATCTGCAACATATACGCAGTTCTATACAGCCCGCCAAGGCCAGTCTGCGGACCCAGGCTGGGAGGGTCTCTCCCAGAGGCAGCGCAGACATTCCAATATGTGCTACTTCCTAGGCTGTGCTTTTCGGAAGGGCGATCCCCACAGCTCCACCATGCTGAGACAGGCCATTCTGGAGGTGGCATCCCTGTGTGTCATGATGGCATCTCAGTGAGTCCCAATGATTTCAGACTCCTCAGAAACACCGTCTCTTCTGGGGTGCTGCAGCCAGTCGGTATTTGCAGCAACACAAGAGGCTTTTCAGAACCAGGCTGAATTGCTTAGGCAACGGGAACACAGGATTTACAGATCCCTTGGTCAGTCTGGGAAAGCAAAACTGAACTCTATGTTCATTTTGGCAGTTGCATCTGCCCGGCTTTTTCAAAGCCTCCTTGATTTCATCTCTCTCGCTCGTTCGCTATTGCCTTGTCTCAGTCTTTTTGCTCTGAAAAGCAGCAAACTTAAGCCCAGTCTGTTTGTACCCTAGTTCCTGTGTCCCAAAGTGCTGTGAAGTTGTGTTCTCATGTTCTGCTTCCCTTGGACCCAGTCATTACACATTAACCTCCAGTCCTTGAGACTTCCATTGTCCAGTGTGCAGCATTCATATGGGAACAGTCCTTGATCGTGTTTCCATGAAAATGGAGGCTTTGTTACTTCAAACAGGAATTACATCCCCATCCCAGAAGAGGAATTCACTCCTTCACACCCAGTGACTAACAAAGCAAATTGAGAGGGAAGCTGACCCATGCATATTTTTCATTAAAAAAACTAGTAAATAAAGCCCTCATAAAGGTCAAAGTGAAGGGCTACAATAAGGAATCATAAAATCACAGAAACACAGGTATAAAAGGACCTCAAGATGTCAGCTAGTCCATCCTCCAGCCCTGAGGCAGGACCAAGTATACACAGACCATCTGTCTAACCTCTTCTTAAAAACCTCCAGCGACCAGCATTCCACAACCTCTCTTGGTAACGTATTCCTGTACTTAGCTATACTCACAGCTGGAAAGTTTTTCCTAATATCCAACCTAAACATCCCATGATGCAGAACAAGCCAGTTACTACTTCTCCCTACCCTAACCCTAAGCAGGAGAGGATAAGAGAAGATCAGATTCCAAGACAACAACCACGGTCAGTGGTGTCAGACAGCCGACATGCCGAGGAGGAGGAGGATGGAGTGCTGGTTCTGAGCTCTGCTTAGGGACAGGTCATTAGAGACTTAAGCAAAAGCAGCCTCAGTGAAGTGCTACAATCTCGGACTCGCTGAATCCTCCCCCCCACGAGAGCCCCCTATGATAGGTTGGGTCACAGAGAGCCCCTTGGGATGTCCCGAGGTGCTGGGACTACCTCTGAGCCCATAGCTCTGTCAGTTAGCGATGTGGAAAATCTCATCCCGACCTGACGTAAATTGCAGCAAAAACCGTAGTATCGACACAGTTACAGTGGCAAAAAAATCCATTAAATAGAAAATCAAGGAAATTAAACGCTCATAAAGTACATTAAACAGAGTGAAGGTTGCCTCGTGCTGCCTCAGGCCCTTCCAGCACGTGGATGGTGGTGAAAAATAAAACCTCTGAAAACCAGGAAATGAAGAATTAAACTACACACCACCCCTGCAATGCAACCTTAACTCTGCCCTTATCCCCTAGCCCTGGAGCTGGCAAATGTCACTGGAAATAGGTCAGTAAGGGTGGTGCAAAGGTTAACAAACTATGCAAGGAAGGGGCCAATTTTCCACCTTTTGAAGGCTTCAAGTCAGGACAGGATGCCTTTCCGGAAGAGGTTTTCATCAAACACAAAGTATTCAGTGCACTACAACGGTAACCAGACAAAACTCCATGGCCTGTATTACACAGGAGGTCAGACTAGATGACCTAATAGTCTCCCCCGGCCTTAAAATGTATTGATCGCCAGAAGGAAGGACTAAGAACATGCCACTGTGTGTTTTATGTTCCTCAGATTTGAACCCCAGCGTTTCTCCGCAGGCACTCCAGCAACGTGCCCTGGGCCAGCTGTAGCTTTATATGAATGGCGGAGGGACTAGTTGGAGCAGCCTGGCAGAGCTGTGACACGAAGAGAGGTGCACGTGAAACTGGAAGGGCCAGGTATTCCTCATTTCAGTGCTGAGTGGTTTAGGCCATGTCAATCAAGGTGCACAAGGGTGTGTTCTTGCCACAAGGATTGTCAGCAGGCTGGTGCCATACATGCTAGGGGTCTCCAGGCCTCAGGGAGGGGTAAGTGAAGGCAACGACTCAGAAGGAATCTTCATTGGAAGGGTAAAGGGGTGGTGACAGCGGGAAGGTCTGAGATGGACTGTGTGCAGTAGGCTCAGTGTCTGAGTGCAGGCCAGGGGGAGGCAGCTTCTGTTCCCTACATCGGGCCTAACCCCAAGTTTTGCCTTAGCAAAGAGACGGTGTTAGCGTTCGTGCTACTGTGCTCTGCTCCCAAAGTGTTCTGTCGCGGGGAGAGCAGAGTGCTAGTCTAGGCATCATTCGCCTGTCAGGCAAAGTTGAGGGTGCATTGTGAACCTTAACTCTTCATTTCCCCGTCTAAGAACTGAGGGGACGGGAATCCTTACCCAGCGAGGTCACATTCTCATAGTTCTCCTGCATGACATCCCTGTAGAGAGCTCTCTGAGCGGGGTCCAGCAGAGCCCACTCTTCCTCAGTGAAATACACAGCCACCTCCTCGAAAGTCACCAGCCCCTGAAAGAGCAAGAGCCCATTGACAACCCCATCGCTCGCAGGAGAGGAGGGCCAATCACATGGAAGCTTTGGGAGGCAGGATCCCACCCGCTCCCCATCAGAGCAGCCAGGAGGCATCAGGGTGAGGGAAGAAAGAGAGAGAGCCCCTCACCCCTTCTAGCAGACAGAGATGGCAAGAGTCTTCACATTCAACACTCACCTATCAGCCAGAAGTGGATACAGGAGATGGAGCCCCCAGGAGTGTCCAGGGACAGCCCCCTGGTAGGAATCCCAACACCCTCCCCAGTGCCAGCGGTTGGATGGGAAGGGATGGGGTGTCTTCCCTAGGCCTCACTGGGGGTTGCCCTCTGGCTAGTAGGTTCAAACTCCAGTATTGGAGTCTGATACGTTTCCCCAGCCCAGTCCTGGGGGGTTGTTTCCTGCTGGACCAATTAGGGAATTTCCACCCACAAACCCCATGGGTCTGTTGGTAGAATCTAGGCCCCATCGTAAACAAATCCCAGCAGGTTTGTCACACCCTGTCCCCCACCCTTTCTCCACCCTGTGTATTTCCTGCCCCTCCCACCTCCTGACTACAGCCAGATGCACCACCTCCTATGCATTTCCAGCCCCCTCCCACCTCCTGACCACCACCAGATACACCACCTCCTATGCATTTACTGCCCCCTCCCACCTCCTGCCCACCGCCAGATACACCACCTCCTACGCATTTCCTGCCCCCTCCCGACCACCGCCAGATACACCACCTCCTATGCATTTACTGCCCCC